GTCTAATTTAGGTGTATCCTGATTTTTTTTTTTAAAAAAGTAACCCATAAAACCATTCTAAGACTTTTGGTTGGTGAGTTCTGACCATGCATATTTAAGGAGTTTATTAATATTTGGAATAGAAGGTTTTATTATTGCCATTCCAGCTTTCCCCCATTCTTATTCTATGGTTTCTTTGTCTTTTCCTTCTGATGATTCCTTGATGACTGTCAGTTTCTTTCTAAGTGTCTCTGCACTGGGGTTTAGTTTCCTGTTTATCATGAGGTATATTTCAATTCATATATATTAAGCATCATCTCTTTTTGTTTTGTGCTGCTATCCACCGATCATTTTTAAACTAAACAGATTCTATTCTTACTCCACTTGGAAGTTTTGTTATTTTTATTCTTGTTTATATTCCTGCTTTTTTTAAATTACTTTTTAATCACCAAATTCATGTTCTTTAGTTTTTTTTTTCTTTTCCAATAAAAAATCTCTTCAATATTTCTTGCATCATATATCTGGTGTTTGTAAACCTCATTAGCTGTGGTTTCTGTGTTTCTCCATATTTGAATAATCATTTTTGTAGCCTGGAATATTCTTGACTGAATGTTTTAATTTTTTAGAATTATGAGTATGTCACTCTGCTCTCTCCTAATCTGAAGAATTTTTGCTGAGAAATCTGATAGCCTGATGATTGGAGTGCTTTTCAATTTTACATGTTCTTTTCCTTAGTAGACAATATTTTTTATATGTTATTGACTTGATAATTTAACAATTACATGCTTTGTTGTATATTCAGAAATCTGAGTGTTCTATTAATGTTCTGGATTTCTATGTTTATCTTTTTCTTTAGGTTAAAAAAGTTTTGCTGATATCTCTTTGACTTGGTTCTCTTTGTTCAGCACTTTGTTCTCTTCTCCTTCCTTCACTGTCTGGTATAACCAATATATTTTGTTTCCTCTTCTTAATGGAGTCTGATAGTTCTCTAAGAATTAAATTTTTAAAAAATTTTTTCTGTCTCCTCTTTGGTCTGAGTCACTACTGGAATTCATTATCAGTTTTTCTGAATCTTTCTTCTGAGAGAGTGAGCTGTTCTTTATGATTTTCATGGAGTTTTTTTTTTTATCTAGCATCTTTGAAATTTTTCTTATAGAGGCTCATTAAGCTGTGCTTGGGAACCCTTGGTGAGGCCTGCCTGGTGATGAGGGCATTATGGTTGGGCCTGACTGTTGTCAGGGGCCATCAAACCTACTCCCAGAGGTGCACTAGCATGTGCTCTACAGTTTGAACTCTATCCCCAACCCTTGGGCTGGAGCGATAGCACAGCGGTAGGGCATTTGCTTTACAAGCGTCCAACATGGCTGACCCAAGTTCGATTCCTCCACCCCTCTCGGAGAGCCTGGCAAGCTACCAAGAGTATCTCGCTCGCACGGCAGAGCCTGGCAAGCTACCCGTGACATATTCAATATGCCAAACACAGTAACAAGTCTCATGATGGAGACGTTACTGAGCCCGCTCAAGCAAATCGATGAACAATGGGAGGACCGTGACCATGACCCCAACCCTTATTTAGCATTGTTTTAAATAGCTTTAGTTTCCGGTGCAGAATTAACTCTCTTTATTATTAATTTTTAAATTTCTTAATTTTAAATTGTTATTTATTTTATTTATTTTATAAGTTCACTGTATCACTGTATCAGTGTCTTCCTGTTGTTTATCGATTTCCTTGACCAGGCCCCAATAACGTCTCCTTCGTCCTAGCCCTGAGATTTTAAAAAGTGCCACATTCGAGACTCTTTCAGGGTCAGGAGAATGAGACCCATCATTGTTACTGGTTTTTGGCATATTGAATACATCACGGGGAGTTTGCCAAACTCTGCCATGTGGGTAGGATACTTTTGGTAGCCTGCCAGGTTCTCTAGAGTAAGAACTAGATGATAAGCGCTTCCGGGAGCAGGGTTTTATAGTCTCTGGGTCTTGGTCGTTGATGGAATTACACAGCGTCGGGGGCAGTTGGTGGGTGTAATGCCTACATATTGGAAGATGGGGGGTCTGGGTGGAGGAGGCACCAGTCCCAATCCGAACAGGCTTGGAGATCTACGCCCCGGGTCCCGCACACCTGAGTTCCTCAGCCAGTTCCTTCATGCATGAGGCTCCTCCGAATGTGTGGAGAGTGGTCTTATGCATGGCTGTGGCTGGAACTGGAGGTCTTCAGCTGCTGGGGCTCTGCTCAGAGTGGGGAGGGAGACTCAACCTACCCTCCTCCAAGGGGCCCCGGTGAGGACAGCCAGGTGCAGAGGCAGGAGTCTCTGCGCTGTTCTCTTCCAGGAGAAGGTTTTATAGTCTCTGGGTCTTGGCCGTTGATGGGATTAGCCGGCGCCGGGGGCAGTTGGTGGGTTATAAGTTAGTTTACAATATTTGATTACATTTAATATTCAAACATCAATCCCACCACTATTAGACCTTCCCACCACCAAATTCGGGGTATTTCCATCCCAGGCCCAATTCCTGTCCCAAAACATAACCGAAATAATATATTTTGTATTGTCTGTCATGAAGAACTACTGAACATGCTTACAAAAAAATGTTCCTGTAGGAAACAGTGTGAAGATTATTTTATTTTGGCAAGAGCCATTAAGACATTCTATAGGATATCACTAACATGTTGTTAAAGTTTGGGTGATGTGAGCTTTGGTATATATATCTGAAAATATGTATATATGCATATATATATTTCCCTCCATGATTTGTTGCCTACTATCTGAACCCCATCAAATATAGTGTGTATCATGGAGAATGGGTACGGAGTGTCTTATGATGTGTCCCTTTTGCAGCCACACTGTCCAGGAATATGTTCACTCATATGTGAGGCTTGGCCCAAGCATGTGGGGAAGCAGCCTTGAGCATGGCAGAGGTTGGGTTGTGGAGGTTTTCAGCTGCTGGAGCTGGGTCCCTTGGGGTGGGGAGGTCTCTCACCCGCCCCCCTCTGAACTCCCTTTATTATTTTATTAATGTTTCATTCTGTTGCTGTGCATTTGATATCTTTGCACTTCATTGACTTTTTTTCATGTTCCTTTTTCCCTGTTGACTTTATTTATTTTATGGGGATCACAACTAGTGGAGTTTAGGGTACCAAGACCACAATCAGCAGTGCTTGGCCTAGCAGTGTGGACCAGATAAATTGGTAACAGGGTCCAGTGCTGCAGGGCTGGTGGGGCCCATGGTGTTTGGAGGTCATTGGGGTTACACCCGACAGTGTTTGGTTGGGCATGTGGTGACAGGGATTGAATCTGAGGATCTTAAATATGCAAGACATGTGATCTGATCATTTGAACTATCTTCTTGGGCCCCATAGCAGCTATCTTTATTTTAATTTTTGGAAAGCAATCTTATCATTTTATTTATTTATTTTTTGGGTTTGTTTGGGGGGGAGGTCCTTGCACACACAAGGCATGCATTTCATATTTTCCCCCTTTTTAAAGAAAATGGAATGACTGTGAAATATAGTTACAGGGTTGTTCATGACCACGTCTCAGTCATACAATGTTCCAACACCTATCCCTTCATCAGTGCACCTTTCCAACCACCAATATCCCCTGTTTCTCTCTTGCCCACCTTCCCCCCCCGCACCCCCCCCCCCTGCACACACACCTTCCCTGCCCCTGTAGCCTGCCTCTATGACAGATAACTCTTCTCTTATTTTCCTTTTAGGCACTGTAGTTTGCAGTATTGTTACTGAAAGGGTATCATGCAAATCACTTATAGTAGCTATTTTAAATTCAGTTTGTTAAATTCTCCCTATCTGTGTCGTAATGATTGATTTCTTAGGTGTTTTAACGTGTGTACGTGGGGGGAGGGTGCATGGTTTGTTTTTCTAATAGGAGGTTCTATGTATCTCTTGATATGGAGTTCTGTTTTGTTTTTCAGAATCTCTGGTGTCAGTGGGGACAGGGACCGGTCTTTTTGGTGGGGTTGCCAGGAGGTGTTATGCCAGTTCTCTCTACCTGGACAAGCTACACAGCAGGTTTTTCTCACCTCAGGCTCTGGTGGCAGTGGAGGCTGCTTTAGTGGCTCTGTGTGTGTGTGTGTGTATGTGTGTGTGTGTGTGTGTGTGTGTGTTTTAAACTTTTATTTTTTTTATTGAATCACTGTGGGGTACACAGGTACAAAATTGTTCATGATTGGATTTCAATCATACAGTGTCCCAGCACCTGTTCATTCACCAATATACATCATTTCTTACCACCAATGTCCCTAATTTTCCTCCCCCCCCACCTTGATTGCAGGCACTTCTCTCTTTCTCTTCTCTTTCTGTCTGTCTCTGTCTCTGTCTCTCTGTTTCTCTGTCTCTCTCTTTCTCCTTTAGGCACTATGGTTTGTAATACAAGTACTGAAGATTTATCATGTATATCTCTTTACTTACTTTCAGTACTCACTTCTTGTCGAGAGTAACCATTTCCAAATATTATTGGTATGGTGGTCCCTTCTCTATCCTCCTAACTGCCCTCTGTCCCTAATGCATTGGTGGCAAGCTTCCAACCGTGGACCAGTCCTCATGGCCCCTGTTTCTTAGGTCATTGGATATTAGTCTCAGCGGGAATTTTGACTAATCTAAGCTCACTGTTTGGCGCAAATATGTAGATTCTTCTTCCCTCCATGATGGAACTAACTTCCTTCCTTCCCTCTCCCTCCCTCCCTCCCTCCCTCCCTCCCTCCCTCCCTCCCTCCCTCCCTCCCTCCCTTCCTTCTTTCTCCCTTTCTTTCCCCTCCCTTCCTTCCTTCCTTCCTTCCTTCCTTCCTTCCTTCCTTCCTTCCTTCCTTCCTTCCTTCCTTCCTTCCTTCTTTCCTCTTTCCACACCTAATGATATTCAGGGCTTATTCCTAGCTCGCTGTTCAAGAATCACTTCTTTTGGTGTTTGAGGACCATTTGTGGTACTAGGGATAGAACCTGCATATGCAGTGTACAAGGCAGGTACCCTACATGCTGCAGTATCTGTTTCTTTTTTTTTTTCTTATTTAAGAATATTTTCTGTTCATCTTCATGAACTTGCATGTTATCTTTTTACAGAGGCCATGCTAATCTCTGTATTGTTTCAATTTTAGTGTATATATCCATCTCCTTAAATTTCCTGATATATTTCATTATCCATTTTTATGGGATATACAAATTTAGTCCGTTTCACTAAATTCTCACCTGTCAGTTTGTTATAAAAATCTGTTATAAAAATCTTTTTTCAGTGTTTTTTTTTCTTCCTATTCAATAGCACATTAATTTTTTTTCTTAATTGTGAGGAGTGGGCTGGAGCGATAGCACAGGGTAGGGCATTTGCCTTGCACACAGCCAACATGGCCAACTCGAGTTCGATTCCTCTGCCCCTCTCGGAGAGCCTGGCAAGCTACCGAGAATATCTCGCCCGCACGGCAGAGCCTGCAAGCTACCCGTGATGTATTCAATATGCCAAACACAGTAACAACAAAGTCTCCAATGGAGACGTTACTGGGCCTGCTCGAGCAAATCGATGAACAATAGGAGGACAGTGACAGTGACAGTGACAGTTGTGAGGGGTACTCCTGAGCAGTACTGAGGAAACTCAGGGGTCACTCCCAGCAGTAGTTGGCCACGTATTCCAAGTGACTCAGTACTACGGTCCACTCACTGGTGTGAAGTTTTTTGGGTCCATAGGTACTGGGGATCAGCCCAACAGTAACAGTATTCAGAGACTTTTAGGGTTACACTTAAAGTCCTGAGGGCAAAACTCCTCTTGATATTTTTCTTTATAATACTATAATTTTCTGTAAATAGAAGAACCTTGTACTTTTATGTTTACTGTAATCTCTGGTTTATTTGGATTTAACTTCCTTCTTTCCTTCTTTATGATTTTTTTATACTTAACACACTTTTTAAATTGAGTACCTTCTCAAACCTACCACTTCTTACCCTATTATACCTTCTTCATTGTTCTTTTTAGTTCATTGTTCTTCATTGTTCTTCATTTTCTTCATTGTTCTTCCACTTATAACTCTTCCTAATTTACTTGAGATTGTATATTTTATTTATTTTATTTTTATGGCTACATATTCTACATTAGTGGTTATATGTACTTTTTATTCTAGTGTTTAAAAAACATAGCAAAACACTTGCATTTGGAGTTCATAAGTATTTGCAGTCTGGCCTAACCAGGCTAGTAGATCTCAATATGGTTTATTTCTCTTTTTTTTTTTTGTTCCTTGCTTCACTACTTGCATTTCTCCAGCCACATCAACTTAATCACTTAATCACTTAACTTCCCGTTAGTCGTCGATTTGCTCGAGCGGGCGCCAGTAGCGTCTCCATTTGTCCCTGTCGCGTGCTAGTGTAGCCCAATGGCATCTGTTCGCTCTGGGAACATGAAGAGTCTCAAACCGATTGTTCATGATCTTCACAAAGAAGTCTGACCATCTGGTAAGTGGGTGGCCACGCGGTCTTTTGACATCCCGTTGAATCCAGTCAGTAACAGCTCTAGTCCAGCGGTCATCTTTAAATCGCATTACGTGACCAGCCCATCTGATTTTTGACACCTTGGCAAATGAGGCAGCGTCCCTGATTCTTGATCGTCGACGGATGTCGGAACTCCGGATTTTTTCTCTCACAGAAGACCCAACCTACCCAGATAAATACCCCACTGGCAGACTTCCACTATTGACACTACCTCCACTACCCAGCCGCCGCCACACTCCAGGACGCTTTCCGGACCCGCACGGCCGCAAAGCGGCCACGCGACACATCATAAGACACTAAATACCCATTTTCCGGAATTGTCGTACCATATTTGATAGGGTTCAAATATGGTAACACCTACAAGGGTGATTAGAGGTCGCCCCAAAAGCCTCTATCCCTCTCAGAAAGACTGGAAAGCTACCGAGAGTATTCCGCCCGCATGGAAGAGCCTGGCAAGCTATCCGTTGTGTATTCGATATGCCAAAACCAGTAACTACAACTGGTCTCATTCACCTGACCCTGACGGCTTCACCGACATGGCAGCACTGAGAAGGATGAGAAAGGAGAGGCCGACAAAATCTCAAGGCCGAACTAGGCTGCCACAACGAAGGAAGACAAAAATGATCGTCTGTATTTTCAATGCACATACGCTAGCATCAGATGCATCCATCGAGGACCTGATGGTACAAGCACGAATGATCAAGTACGACATCATTGGTCTGACCGAGACAAGAAGGCACGAATCTCACCATGCCGTTTTCGACACTGGAGAAGAATTGTTCCTTGGAACATGCGATAAAAGAGGTGTCGGAGGCATTGGTGTCGTTGTCAACACAAACTTGGCCAAGAGCATTGATTCATTCGAATGCCTAACAACCTGAATCGGACGTTTACATTTGGATAGATGTGGCTCACTGCCTGCAGTTTCTATCTTCGTTGTCTATGCACCAACATCTCATTATGATGAAAGAGAAATCGAGAAGTTCTACATGGAGCTGGAGAAGTTCTATAAAGAAGACCACACCTTCTAGAAGATCATCGTGGGTGATTTTAATGCCAAGATAGGACCGAGAAGATCAGCTGAAGAACTTCACATCGGGACCCATGGCTTAGAATGGAACGAACAGGGTGAGAGACTGTCTGAGTTCATCATGTTGACCAAGACCATCCATGGTAACTCACAGTTCCAGAAGGCAGAATCTAAACATTGGACATGGGAGTCTCCTGGTGGACGATTCCACAACGAAATAGACCACATCATATTCAATCGACGGTTTTGACTGACTGATGTCGCTGTTGTCCCAAAATTTCGAACGGGATCGGACCACCGTCTCCTTCGTGCAAAATTCTACTTCACAGAGCGGGGAGAAAGGGCTGCAAAGTTCAAAAAGAGAACTCCCAGAACGACCACCAACTGGGAACTCTTTGGCACTATTGCGGCAACATGGGAAGATGCCATTGTTGACAACATTGATGAGGAATACGATCGACTGGTTCAGCACCTGCATGAATGTGTGAGGAACTCCAAGAGAGAGATAGCCACAAAAAAACGCCTGTCTTCGAAAACTCTTGAGCTAATTCGCCAGCGTGGTTTGGCGCATGCCTCAGGCAACCGCAAGCTAATGTCTGAGCTCGCAAAGCAGTGCAGAGATGCGATCAAGGAAGACCTCAAAGAGAGAAGAGCAGAAGTACTGGTAGATGCGGCAGAAGCTGGGAAAAGTATTCGTTACGCCCGCCTGTCCTTCGCCAACTACAAGACCAAGATGACTGCCCTCTGAAGTCCTGATGGATCCATCACATCCTCCAGAATGGCAATGGAGAAGATTATCCATGACTTCTACTCAAATCTCTTCGATAGCCATGTCCACTTGCAGACATACCAAATTCCACAGGATGGATATATCGTTCCCAATGTTCTCCCTTCCGAAATCCGACACGCCATTTCATCGGTAAAGAAACAAACAGCACAGAGGCCCAGCTCTGGGCAACAAAGCTGAACGGCTCCAATTCCAACAGGTACAGCCCGCCCCCAAGGGCCTGGGTTCCTCTCTGGGCACGCGCAGCTAGAAACAGCCCCGAGACAGCCGGTTTTCAACCCCTGATCCGCGTGGGACGGGCACAGAGGCCCAGCTCTGGGCAACAAAGCTGAACGGCTCCAATTCCAACAGGTACAGCCCGCCCCCAAGGGCCTGGGTTCCTCTCTGGGCACGCGCAGCTAGAAACAGCCCCGAGACAGCCGGTTTTCAACCCCTGATCCGCGTGGGACGGGCACAGAGGCCCAGCTCTGGGCAACAAAGCTGAACGGCTCCAATTCCAACAGGTACAGCCCGCCCCCAAGGGCCTGGGTTCCTCTCTGGGCACGCGCAGCTAGAAACAGCCCCGAGACAGCCGGTTTTCAACCCCTGATCCGCGTGGGACGGGCACAGAGGCCCAGCTCTGGGCAACAAAGCTGAACGGCTCCAATTCCAACAGGTACAGCCCGCCCCCAAGGGCCTGGGTTCCTCTCTGGGCACGCGCAGCTAGAAACAGCCCCGAGACAGCCGGTTTTCAACCCCTGATCCGCGTGGGACGGGCACAGAGGCCCAGCTCTGGGCAACAAAGCTGAACGGCTCCAATTCCAACAGGTACAGCCCGCCCCCAAGGGCCTGGGTTCCTCTCTGGGCACGCGCAGCTAGAAACAGCCCCGAGACAGCCGGTTTTCAACCCCTGATCCGCGTGGGACGGGCACAGAGGCCCAGCTCTGGGCAACAAAGCTGAACGGCTCCAATTCCAAACAGGAGACATTCCCAACTCCTCGCCCAGTGCCAGGGACTCTTTCCGGAGCCGCGGCCGCTAACGCGGCCGCGAAATATTTTCCCACTACATATTCCATAGCAACCATAAGCTAACTTCTTAGATGGAAACTTCTCTATTTTAGCTCAGCCACTAGAAATACAGTTACCAATAACTCATAAGCCTATCTTAACTCACACTGCATATCAAGCAGAATAGTAACACTGAACGTGAAGGACTAAACCACACCTCTCACAATGGTAAAGCAACGCAAAAGCCCACCAAACATTCATATTGAAGAGTCTAGCCCAGATGACACCAACAGTACTGTAGTGTTAGACAACCTCTCTGACAAGGAATTCAGAAGGGAGCTACTTAGGATGCTTAGGGAATTAAAAGAAACAATGGAAACCAATGCCAATAGAAGACAAGAGGATCTGAAGGCAGAAATGAGGAAAATGCAATCAGAAATGTCAGACCTGAAAAATCTCGTAGGCGAATTGAAAAGCTCAGTGGAAGGCCTCAGCAGCAGAGTAACAGCGGCTGAGAACAGAATCAGTGAGCTCGAAGATGAAGTTCAGAGACTCTCCCGAAAAGAGCAGAAAATGGAAAAGAGACTCACAATTCGGGAACAGATGGCAAGAGAAGATCGTGATGAAGCCAAGAGGGGTAACATAAGAATTATTGGAGTCCCAGAGGGACAGGAAGAAAACCTCGATGAAGAAGAAACTGTCAAAGACATCATTGCTACAACATTTCCAGAGCTGAAGAAAACTTGTGACCACATTCAGGAGGCCCGAAGGGTACCAGCTAGAAGAAATCCGAATAAAAATACCCCAAGACACATTCTGATCAAAATGACCAAAACCTTAGACA